TGCCTCAAGTAACCTAATCAGTAATCAGCATTCCTAAAACTTTTTTTTCAAAAAGACAGTTTTTTAAAAATTATATTTTATTATTTTCTAAGTCATACGGCATTTGGGGTGACTTTGATACCCACATTTGTATATGTTAAACTATTGGTAATGGTATGAAACCTATTAATCTCGCACCATTTTATATTTGTTCATGACAAATATTGTTTGTCATTTTTATATTAGTTCTTGAGTTCTAACGTAAAACTTATTATAAGGTGATATCGACAAGAATATATTAATTTTATAATTAATAAAAACAAACAACCAGTATTATGTATTATTATTTACCAGTAGTTTATGTTGATATATTAAGTTGACAAACTCAAACTTGTGGAACGTATTAAACATATCATAATATAATAATAAAAAAAAAACTTAATAAAACTAAGTCGGTATAAATATTAGCTTTAACAGTTTAAACATAATAATTTCAAAATCAAAAACAAAACTAAATTTAAAAACATCTATTTAAATATATTTGTATTGAATTAGGTAAGCAAGTACTCACTAGGCAATCTAGAGTTTATGGCCGTGCTTACGGGCATCAAATCCTCTCTTTCGCTTTTTTTGTCTTATAAAATATATGATAAAGCTATGCAAGTATGTATATATTTACAGCGGTCTGGAAATCGACGAAAATTCATAACCCTCCCTCCTTCCAAAAAAGCTGAGCACACCACTACATAAGTTTACAATGTCTCTCTGACATCAGAAACTGCTTATGAAAGTATGTATTATACTCGTATTAACACGACAAAAAATCATTTTCTTGGGTTTTTTATAGCTGCTTATTGTACATAAATGTGTTTTTTAATTTTTCCTACCGAAAAATCTTAAATTATCTTTAATCTGTTCTGTTACCATATACACTTTTGTAATACATTTTTTTTTGTACAATCGAGCCAATAAAAAACTAGAACTTCCCCGTAGTAAGGCATTTGGCTGGCTTATCATAAAATAATTGTATCATATAGGGAGGACCCACATCACGAGAGGATCGAGTGCAAAATTCAGCGACCAATCAGAAACGTCATGTTGTCATGTTATCCTGTCACCTACTTGTGGTAGTGTTACATAACAAGTCGAGGGATATTTTCATTTTTTTGTCAAAAAACGCAGGGCAGTGAGCGAGTGGTGAGTTCAGAATCTAGCGGAATACTATGTTTATTAATTTGATTGGTTATAATTTACAACAAACATCTTCATAACCGAGATATAAGTCTATGATAACAGTATGTTAACAGAGCATACATATTTCATTATTTTTTATTATCCTATTAAAGACTTATTTAAGCGGTTACACAATTAATATAGGTACTTTGTTTTATTTTTTGACACAAAAAAAATCACATAGAAATCTAATATAGACCGATGAGTTTCCTAGTGATTTTATTCTGCTCTTTAGCCGCATGATCCCGATCACCATATACAATATACGTTCAACATTTTTAACTTATCAAATCTACAACATTATATTTGTAATTTCTGTTACCGGCCAATTGGCTGCCGGTAATGCAGGTACAATAACCGAAAAGTACATTTTTTCAATATACTGAATGAATAATCAATATTTTCAAAGAAGGATTGTCAAACTGCACTTCTTAACTAAACCAAAATGTTCAAATTTCACTTGATCCGATCATTCTATAAAAATTAAAAGTATTGATTTTAGTTGACGATTGTATATTGTGTGTGTGTGTGTGTGTGTGTCGATCGATTTAGTAACACAATTATACTATTTCACAAGAGGTAATTAATTTAGTAAAAAACATAAAATAATATTTTTAAATTATTAATTATAAAACTAGGTAGGTATGTTATAGTATTTAAATCGTAGAGAAATTACCGTAATTGTGGACTATTAATCGTAGAGGTACTTATTACTGTGAAAACATTTTAAATTGTGATGTGTTTGATATTGAATGCAATTCAGAGACTAGGTACTTTTTTTTACATTGGATGCAATTTAATCCAAATATGTGAAATTTTAACATATAAGTAATTATTAGACAAGTAATATGTATATCAAAATACTTATCAATAATTATTGAGTATATTGGAGTATTGGTACTCTCGATCACCTATGCGCCACAAAGTCGTAAATCATATTAAGCTGGCAGGTCCAGTGTCAGACCCATCAGTGGAAAACTTGAGTATGTGAAAGATTTAATGATGAGTAAAAACGTAATCAACATTAGTAAATTACTAAAAATTATTAATCATCAATCAAGCTCAACCTATACATTTACTATATTTTATACTATTTGCTTAATACATTATCATAATTATAACTGCACAGTAGATATTATAATGTTCATAATTTTAAAAGTTTTATTAAATATAAGAATTATTCAATTATTGGAAATATTCATTGCACTTGTATACATATTTTTATAAATTGTAAATCCTTCATGGGTTTGGAAACTGGAAGCGGTCACAAAATATATGCAGTCATAAATAATTATTTTTTACTCAAAACACGTAAAAGAGTTACCTATTTAATATTTTGTTACTGTATTCTATGATAATAGTCCACAATATAATATCCGATACTATTATTTAGTGATTATACTTTTTCCTATTTTATGAAACAGAAATTACAGTTCCACGCTTTAGTTAAGGTAAGGAAGTGATTTCTGTCTTTCTTACACTAGGAATTCAGAGAGGTTCTATTGTATTCACTGTTATATAGTGAAGCAGTAAAAATTATGAAAATCAATTCGTATTTATCTTTAAGATAATTTAATATTGATATTTCATAAAAAAAAAGAAGAAATTAAAAAAAAAAAACACTTGTCCAAACAGTTACGTAAACTATAATGTTAACAATGTATTTTTATGATAAATTATATACATATAATAATACATGTTGTAATTATGTATTTATTACAACATATATTTAAATAAAAAATAAAATCAATTACTCTAATTTAATGACTACTGAGTAAGGTAAGTGAGGTGATTTATTAACTATATATATAATATATATATAGTAATAATTAAAAGTTCAGTAAATACTAAATAGTCAAAGGTAAACTGTATAATCGTGATATTTGACCTGAACTGTATTCATACATTCGATTTGACGGAATTGATATATCAGTTTAAAAAACTTGGGACGGATCTAACTAATCTTTAAATTCAATTTTTATAATTGGAACGGAACTCGGATGCAGCTACTGGTCCACCAAAGATTTCACCTAAACTTATTTTCAATGTTTCTATAGTCCAAGTTTTTGTGTTAATACAGTTGGTTGTACATTTCAATAGAACATAAAAAATAAATTAACTTTTTTCGTCCATAAGACACAATAAGTCATTGAATAAGAATAGTCCTAAATTAGAAATGTAATTTTTTTCAATTGCATATTTACAAATATTTTTTTTAAAGTAATTATTATATTTATAAGAGTTGTATCGAGATAAATTAATACCAGCAATAGATGATCAAACTGAAGAACTTGGAGTTCTTCCCTTTAAAAATCTTTAATCTAGTATTATAACCAATAGCACACATTACATCAACTAGGACTCCTGCCTGAGTTTTTTTTTATCTCGGTACTGAAAATATAAATCTGGGTTTCATTGCATTATAACAATATAATAACTTAAATTTACTATTTTTTTTTTGTCTTCATACAAAAAATGCATAGCAGTAAATAGCAATAAATAACCAAACTCCAGCAATAGTTTTATTATAAGTCTCCACATTTTTATAAAGGTCTCTTCCAGTATTACATTAATACCAAGAACCAATAGGATAGTTATAACTTATAAGCTGTGCTAAACTACTGCTGTACAGTAGTTGTCGAGTTATTCATTGACTATTGTTATGGATGTGTTAAATTTGCATTCAATGATAAATTATTGTAAAAATGATTCTGAGTGGAAACAGCGTGCTAGCCTAATATATTTGAATGAAAAATCAAATTTAATAATATAATTTAAAAAAAAAAAATTGAATATTTCTCATGGCTATAAATAGCTCAAAAATATATACATAATATTTTGAAAATGTCATCATGTATAGAAAGCAGCCAGATTAATATTTTCTGGAAACTTAAAATATATTTATATGGGTATTAGTTTTTGAGTTATACAAAACAGTAAAATCGGTTTTATCAAAAGTTGGTTTTGCGTGAAAATTCCTTTTTTTTTATTTTTCGTTACGATTTTAAAAACAATTGAGAAATGTGAGCAACTAAATACTAGATTTTCCAAGGTAAGAAGAAGCTAAAGAAGCGTTTCTCAAACAAATTTTCAAAATACGATGTATTAGTAAAAATTGTATGTGTTCAGAGTTTGGCAAATTATATATAATACGAGTGTTATTGTGTTCAAGGAGATCTAAAAAATTATAAAAAGTACATAATTATGTCAAGGTTTAATATGAAAATTTGAAAGTGGCAGTGCTGGCGAAACTGAACTTTTTATAGTAAAAGCGGTCATTACTCATGTACATTTAGCACACGATTTGAAATTTGATGCTTATAATTTGAAAGCTTAGGTAATTTGTTGGAGAGTACCTAATATTTTAAAATATTTGTATTTTAATTATATTCAATTTTTTTTTTTCATATTTCATAGCTGAAGTCCGTATATGCGCCCATAACAAATGAAAAATAAATCCAAATTAATGTTAAAAGAGGTTTATAGATTGATAATAACTTTGAGACCTGCGAGTTTATTGCTGTCGAGAGAGGACATAACTATATAATAATTGTAGTAGAAGTCTTTTAATACGTATGCGATTTATCCCAAGTATATCATTTGCTAAGGTTTATCCAAGATATCTAAAAATCAAATAACAGCGATTCGGGTGCTGCAGTTACGACGTACGCAGCAATATTGTGGGTAGTTAATGTATTATTCGTGAAATCCTTTTGGAAATCTCGAATAGCGGGAATCATGCATGCAGGATGTAATTTATTGTATAAATTGTAAATTATAATGTATACCTTGCAAATGAACGGTCGGGCGCCTGTGTGAACTGGCATGTGTCTCGTCAGGTTGTAATGAGCGTAAAAAACTTTTCCGCAATGGTTGCATGTAAATGTCTTAACTGGCGTGACAGAAGTGACCGCCTGCGACAGTTCCTTGGCGCCGGACGGCGACTGAACGGTCTTGGTCGCGGCGAGTCGCCCGAGCGTCATCTGATGTGATGTTGGTGGCGGCGGTGGTGGTGGCACCGGAAGTGCGGGGAGCACCGGAAGTATTGTGAGAGCCGGAAGTTCGGATGACGGCGGAGGTGGTTGGGGGCGGGAATGAGTAGGTCTGTCTTCTGAGGTGCAGGACAGCCTAGAATGTTGCTGATAGTGAAACAGCTGCACGGCTGTCGTCGTTGTCGTCATCGTAGTCGATAAATAACGGTCGTTGTTGTTGACGGTCAGTGGAGTCCGTCCATCGTTGGCGTTGGCAGTGCAGTGCGTGGATTGCAACGGACTGGATCTGAACGCCGGCACGTATTTCTTGAACGCCGATTCGAGTGCGTGGAAGTAGTCGGCCGCCGGTGCACTAGGCTGTTTCCGGACGTCCGGTTCCATGATGCGGGCGATGGAGAACGTCAGTGAGTCGGTCGACTTGGGACCGTACTTTTTTCGAAAACCGTCCACATCCCGGTTACTGCCGATTGACGTTACCGAATCCATGGCCTTTGCTGGCGAAAAAATCATCTACAACACACAAACGCCACGTTAGGTATAGTTAGTGTAATGTGTAGGGTCAAGCGAGGTAATTAATTTTATCGAATTATTTAATAATATTAATAGTGCAAATACGTAAGGATTAAATTGGTCGCATATTTATGTCTATTAGTATTCATAATAATATGTGCAAGTTAAATCAATCAAAAAATTTAATCTCTACCTAAGTATACTAGCTTTGGTGTACCTCGTTTTGTTGGAAGGGATATGATTGTGGGGTGTACCATGTACATCTGTAAGTCTTCGCCCTAGGTGCAAATCTGAGTGGGCGCAAAATTGTATGATGATTTCCAAAAAAAGAATAAAATAGCTATTCAACTCAGAAAAAGAAAGGTAATCCCCATTCATATTAAACATTCTTATGTATTTTTACTTTTCTGGAATAATTATAATAAAATACAGTTTTACAAAAAAAAAAATGTTTTGTACAATTAAGCACAATTAGAATTATTTCACAAGAATGATAATACAATCATAATTTAAAATATTATTACGAAAAATATAATAAGTAATTAAAATTACTTAATTTATTTTCTTCTCCCAGCTTTTTTTTTTGAAACGTACAATGAACTTTTTACTTTTGACCACCCAAATTATCAACTAGATCCAATTATCTACCAGAAACCGCTCATTCACTAAGTTGAAACTCCAAGCATTTTCAAGGATGACGCCAGTCAGGAAAAAATCATACATCACTGTATAATACCAAATATCAATACATTTATCGCTCCACTCTGAATCTAAAAATCGTAAAAATTCTAGTTTTTCTTTTACCTTTCCTATCCTTACAGATATTTTAAGAATTCGGGGAATTGTATAGTACTATAGTTAATAGTCTATTGAAGTTAACTGCATTTATGGTTCGTACATAATAATGAAACTTAACAGGATGGTGGCAGGTCGGCTTTACATTGAAAGTTTTTTTTTCGCAAAAAGTCGATTTTACTAAATGGCTTATACGAACAAACACTCGTTGTACTTAAACAATTTTGAGTGTAAGCGAATTTTGAGCGTCGCATTTCTAAATAACTCAAACAACCACCGCGATAACACGTACCACCTATATACATTACAATATAATGGCGCGTGTTATATACGTATATAGCTCAGTGTAGGTACACTCCGAGTAAGCAAAATAACCTATTCAAGGCAAGCTCCCTTATTATGCCACACAATTAGTTCCGTAACCGGGGTGTGGGTAATGGATATTTGTTTTTTATTCACCATCCGTCCCTCACTGGAGTTTTTGTCTTCCGACCACCCTCTGTACACGGTGTGCTATTATCGCTATTACGATGTACACGTATTGTAATTCACGTGCAGTATAATATATAGTTATAATGTGGTCATATATTTTCATCGGGACGGCGGTGTGCCATGTGCGGATTAGGATCTGATGATAACGGTCCGAGCCACACGTATTATATTATAACGATATATTATTAGGTATAGTATACTATATAGGTACCTTTAACAATACAATAATTAATTCAAACGGAGTATATACAATATATGTAATATGTGTGTGTATAGTAGGTGTAGTATAATGCATATTAAACCAGTGGTTCTAAAGCCGTGTTCCAATTACTATAATAACAACTTATCAGCGATGTTGTATTAATTTTTCAAGATTTTTAAATATTTTCAATATCAATTAAATAAAACTAAAATAATATTAAACACATATAAATAGCTTAAAATTAGTCTAAATATTTTTTAAACGTAATAGAGTATAAAAAAAGTAAAAATAAATAATATTAAAATGTTATTTGCCTAAGAAATATTGACTTCCATCAAAACTTGAATTAGAACTTCTAAGTCAAACCTTAGGTATAAAAAAATAAAAATTTACCAAACTTTTACCACAAAATAATTTTCAAATATTCTTGATTTTGTCCAATTAAAAACACACACACATTGTATTACCAGTATATTCGTTGTTCTCCTCGGAGTCTTAATTTTGTTATTATAAAGAAAACAAATTAGGAATCAAATTAGTTGTGATTCAAAATTGACATTTCTAGTAATTGAGGCTTTGTAGATTTTTTACAGTAACTTAAGGACTCCGCTATCAAATAGTTTGAGAACCACGTGTATTTCTATTAAACTATATGTTATAATATAGTGGTGCGTATAATATAATTTTGTATAATATATGCATGTATAAAGCTTTGATGCCGTATGCACGCCCGGTGGACTGAACGACCAAAATTTATGTGCGGGTCTTCCGTTTTTGATAACCATCACTGGACAGAGGTCATTATCGTGTTTGGTTTTCATTTCCGGTAACTGACCGCCGTGTATCGCGAGCGTGCACTCCTGTAATGCATGTTTCCCGTAATGTCCAACAACAGTCAACGAAATAGGAAAAGAAAACGATGTTCACTTTTTAATTCAGACATTTTATTCTAGATCCTCACTCCTGAGCTGAGTGATGTATTAGTTATTTACACGGATGTTCTCGTTTATTTTCCAATTTATGTCTATAATGATAATATGTCCTTGTAAAGAGAAGTGACCCGACTACTTCGTGTAGCTTATACCTACCCTGTTTTCAGTATCAAAAACGTACGTAAATCGTAAAAATTATTCATATACAGTGGTAATGGTTATTTTTTGTTTCGCATACACTTGATTAATCCTGGTTACAGACAAATCGGAATCATATCCAGGTTTCAACACCGCCACCGGAAACCGTAGAGATTCATCGACTCATTGTGCACTTATAAGTTTATTAAAGGATTTTATGTTTGCGTACGACCGTTCTAAGTTCGTATTTCGAATTTCATCCAGAAAAACAGACATCATTGTACATACTCCCTACATATTTTAAAACCTATGCGATTGTTCGCCGATAGACAAGACTCATAAATATTAATATTCATTTTATACGCTCATTAAGTAAAGACCGTTTTTAGGGAGAGGGACAATGGACATTGCCCCGAGTGACTGGTTTTGAGGGGGTGGTTAATGTTTGTAAAATTGTCATCATTTTAACCCCCTCATAATTCCATTTGATTATTTCCTGCAATTTATATTATGATTTCATATTTTGTAAATTTTTACCCAATTTATAATATTCTCGTTATCATTAGCAGTTCCCAGCAGTTAATCCATACCCCTTAGCTAAATTTAAAAAACATAAACATCGAAAGTGACTAAACCTTCACCATAAATTATGATAATATAATATTCATAAAGAATTTTCTGAGTCACAATTAATATAACAAAAAATAAACTTTTTAATAGTAATTTTCTTAACATTTACCCAAGTGAATTTTATTATAAAAAAATGTGTTTTAAAACTAATTTTTTTTATAATTTATTACCTAGGCAGTTTTTTTTTTTGAACCCCTAAGTGGTGGCACTGTATTAAAAGTGAATTGTTAAAATATTTTGTTCTTTCCCTTGTGTGAGGATTTATCTCTACCCACCTATCACATGTTTATACAATTAAACAAATTAATTGTATTGAAGTAATAGACTAATAAATACTGTTAGTATAAATAAATAAAAATGTTAACAATAATTATTGCAGTTGATGCAATTAAGGTTTTTCGGTTTGTTAAAGCAATAATAGTTTTATATTCGACTATTCCTACTATTCTTTCCAAAATCATATTAAAATATAGTAATTTGCCTTATAAGTTGATTGTGACAGATATATTTTTATCTATTCTACTCTATAATCACACACTTCAAAAATAATATAATTAATGAAGATTAAAAAAGCTATGGTAAATATTTTCTGTATAGTACCCAATTTAAATGTTTAAAATACTAGGAAGACCACAGTCGCTTCTGAATCATTGTTTATTTGGAACGTTATAAACGAACATTATTTTTTGACGAAATGTGTTAAGAAGACGTTAGACTCACATGTGTTGTCTCCATCTTACAAATTTAGAACATACCAAAAACTATTTTTCGCTAGATAAAACCACTTAGCCTGTAGTGGTAATTAAGACTCCAAATGTATGTATAATATAGTTGAGGACATTCTCTGTGATGTATGATTTTTATTTTTCTGGTATAACTTATACGAAAAAAGTTTTATTGTTTCAGAATCCATTATTTTGTGTTCTTCAAACTTGAATAACTTTTTTGTAGTAAATTTAGTATTTAGTAATAATATTCGTTATCGAAAAAATAAAAACGAAAGTTCTCTTTTTTTTGTGGTGAAAATGTAGTACAATGCTTTCTAGGTTCTTTCCTGCGCAAAACAGTTTTTGCAATGTTTTACATCTATAAATGTATATATTATATAAGATGAAGACAACACAACGGGTGTAGCGTCCTCTTAAGCTTAAATACTCATATGTATGTGCAGTATGCGTAAAAAATACGGTATGAGACACATTATACTCGTTATTTTAAAATCTGTAAATCATTAATCAGGCTATACATACAGATAAATAAAATTATCATATTAATTGTACTATTTGTTCAACGCATTATCATCATTATAACTACGTAGTAGGTACTAAACTGGTCTTGATTTTGATTGTTTAATCAAAATATATAGTCATGGCTTATCCAAAGATTATAAATATTCATTGCACTTGCTCATATTTATATGAATTGTATATTTCTTTAGGTTCTTAGAAGTTAGCTATTATTCAGGGGAATAGTAAGCTCCTACACGGTAAAAATCAGGTACGTATGTTAATTCATACACGACGGAAAAAATTTAATATGTTGTGGAAACTTTATACACTGGTATATTTAACAAATATTAACATTCAAATACACTCCATTTAGCAAAACGTATTCAAAATTACGGGAAAATTCGACAAGCTCCAAACTGATAATAGTATTCCGACTCGACGTAGGGCAAAAGATAAAATATCTTACTATCCATATTTTTTAACTTTAAAAATATTTAAGACTTTTCATTACGGGTAAAAACGATACAGAACTTGATTTAGGTTTGATAATCTATATAGTATAAATATATATTATTAGTTACA